GAACTTACGCTAACTACGAAACCTGTTCCTGTAGGTACAGCATACTTGATAAGATATTAAGTGCCTGCTACTCCTCATATTGAAATCTAGTTTCCTAGCATAGCAATGATTATGGTAATTATAGTCATAAACATTAATAGGTAATTTCCTATGTTTGCGTTGATACTATGCGCTTATGACCATAAAGCATACTTGAAAATAATAGCTATGAAAATATTAAATTCAATCTACTTGATAAATGAAATATCCTTTTACTAATAAGTAACGCATATACATTTACAATAAGTCTTTATAAATAAATACCACCAGCATTCTATTATTTGGTCTATCTTTATATATCTTGATATACTTTATATCATATAAGTCATCTGCGTAGGTACGTCCGTCACACCTAATTCAGCTGCCAAATAGTTTGCTTCATAAGATGTGTTTTCGTTGAAGGGTTAGACAAAGCAAATTGTAGGATACGAAAATATGATAACTTAATCCCCCGAATAATTACGCATGAGTGGCATCACAGGTGCCACATGATGACGTGATGCTTATGATCCTAATACAGTATGTAGACGACGGCTTTTAGAAACCATTAGTTCGGCCGTCAGCTTATTTGCCATTCCAATAGGTACTTATAAAAATCTGCATTCTACTTACTACATTTACACTGTATTTTTCTAAAAAAATAATATATTAATTGAAACCGTAAAAGTGAAAATCTCTTCGCTTGCCTCGAGGAATGTCTGTACAGTATTCATATATTTACATAATGAACGTACATTTTTTGGCGAGCGTAACTTTCAATATTAACAATGCCTACAAGTTTGCCGTATGATGAGGATTACTAGACACATTTTGAATATCTATAGGGTGTTCACTAAACATTTATCAAGTGTTATCGAGAGATGGGTTTGATGGAAGAGCGGCAAATGTGAGGAGTGCCCCGCAACTGACACACTGACTCGCTTTCCAGTCGTAACCGCTGACATTGCGTCCAGATGCATAAGTATGCTCACTTGCGTCTCACATTTACACTCTATAGATAACGATAGATATCGTTCAAATAAGAATACGTCGTTATATTTATATGCCACTTAAAAAACGCGAAAAAGTGAAAAATCTTGATTAAGTTTATATTGTAGATTACCTACCAATCTTTCAACTTTTAATGCTACTAGTTCAAAATGCTAGTTAAAATTTTCTAGCTTATATAAGTCTACATAATTTAAATATAATTATTCTGAAAATTGTTTAATTACAATTTCGTCAGAATTAGTTTTATACAAAATAATAATTGTATACCAATTAAGTAGACCTAGTCACTTTTATATTTATAATAATTATTTTATTTGTATGGACTTACGTACATAGTATATCTTCAAAGAACAAATATATCGAGCAGGTTTAAATGAAATTGTTGATAGGGTCCGACTGTCCGAGTCAGTTGAAGGTGGGACGACCAAGTGTTACGTGCTGGAAAGGGTCATATGACGAGTACTCTTAACCGACGAGTATACATGAATAGATTGATTATTTTCAATTGTTTCAGCCTACCCAAAAAAGAAAGGGATTTAACGTATGTATATTTATTTGTATAGGTATGAAAATGTATATCTAGATCAATTCAATAACCTTGAATTATGGCCGATTTAACGAAATAGCAAAATTACATACAGTTTACATAAAATTTCTTTTATTTAAGAATATTTACATTTAAAAAATGACGACAATCAATATCGTAAAACTTTACTGCAGAAGCGTATTTATCATTTGATATGTAGATAATTTATTAGCATCCGATATATAAAAAAATGATTCTACTGTTAGACTTCCAATTATCTATATAACTACGAAGTATGTACTTTATAATTACTAAATTCAATCAATCGTGGTGTAATGGTTTAGGATACCGCCTTACTTCCGATGGTCGCGGATTCGATTCCTCCCACAATACAAACAGAGTATGATTGTTTATACGGGTTTGGAGTTTTCTATGTATATATATATATATATATTTTTTTTTAAATACCTATGCATTTGTAGCTTGGGACTAGATGACGCTGTGTGAATTGTCCAGGGATACTATTATTATCTAGAGTACTTCCAGTCTCATTAACTAGTGAAATATATTGCACCATGAAGAAACTAACGTGTCACATCTTCTTGTAAGTACCTATCATATGTTTGTCTTGACGGAAATTAAAACTGGACATGCTCATTAACGCTTTCACCGCGGGGTTTCCGTTACATTCGAAAATTAACTCGTAAACATGAAACCTATATCTACACAGAAAGAGAAAGTGACAATTTTATTGTCATGTATCGATATTATTGCTTATTTAAGTAAGAAACATGACATCAAATTGTAATAATTTTCTGAATTCAGACGTAATATGTAAATATTTAACTATACTTAAAAATCCGCAATTAGGCCGTGTATGTATATGGAAAAATTTTATATATATTTTATATATTCCCTTAATGAATGTTATTTCAGAATATATTAAATAAATACACCATTTGACTACTTATATATAAAAAATAAGTAAGAAGTAGATGATAAATATAATATGGCCTAGCTACTGCATTTACAAAGTATAGTAGGTACACAATTATTCAAATAATTTGTATTAATTACTTTGGAAAAAATATTAGTACTTATATTTACTCTTTACTTTTTTCTAACAATAACAATCCTATTACAAACAGGACGTTAAATGATTGTTTCGTTGCTAATTAGCACATGTCTTGTCATGTAAGAGTACCTACTACTACTATACTAAGTGATGGAATGCAATTTCATCCGTCCCTTGAAACAAAGTTACTAATAATTGTACTAGTATTTACTTAGTACTCCAAACGCGTGTTAATTTCTAGATTGCTATCTACCGATAATAATCAAATAACAACAATAATGAAGAATCTATATAACTCTCTATATTACCTACTATTCGATTAACAAATCGCTTGAAAATTTATGGATGGTGTATTGATACGTTTCATAAAAGTAATCTTTTCCACCCGTTGTTCATTTAACTTTCTTTATTTTAATCGTCGATTCATAATTAACTAGATATTTAGAAAAAAAACTCCTAATTCAACGAGCCATTTTCACTTTTAAAACAGATCGTCACGAATTTATGATTTTATTAGTTATAATAATATGTCCATATAAAAGAGGATAAATATAATTATGATTGCGACTAAAGTGATAACTTTTTAGTGCTTATAGCTTTAGCAACTCATGTTGTGATTACACAAGGCATAAGTACACAATCCCTGAAGATGTCAAAGCACCGTGACGATACTTAGTTACAAAACTTGAGTGCATCCAAACAATGGAATGGGAAGTTATATACACTGTGGACCGATTTTGCAACACAGTAAGCAGTGGAACCGTTTCAGTAATAGCTTTTGTTGTTACTATATCCGTTGTAAAGATAAGAAATAACGACATATGTATGTTAAAAAAATATTTAAAATATTTTTAGTATCTGTGTTTTTCTAAATCATTATAAAGTACTTATAAGTATAAGTTTTGAAAAGAAATCGTCACATGAAGAATGACGGTAGTTGCAATTTATGTAATTCATATTTTTTTTAATCATGTCATTAAAAAAAAAATTACTTGTCATCCAGTTTCGAAACCCCAGACGGATGACAAGCGCTTATGGGACACTATGACTATTGCAACACTCGATTTCTTAAATTTTATTTTAGATAAAAGATATTATTAAAGATATTATTATTTATTAAACACGTCCTTGTGTTACAATCTAACTTCTAGTCAAATTTAATATTATGCATCTAATATTATATATTAGTACTGCCTGTATTAATTTTGTAAAATCACGTGGCATGTAATATTATTTTCTAGTTAAATTCATTTGACTAATAATAAATAGATATATATTATAGCAGGTAATGAAACTTTACAATAAGAAATTAATATAACTACTTAGCTATTTTCTTTTGGTTACTGGTAATTGAGTATGTGTAACGTTAATTAAAATATATTTTAATCAGTTTGATACCATTTCACATATTAACGTAAATGAGAAACCCCTCAGTACACCTATAAAATGCTTGTTGTGTGACGTACGACCTACTTTCCACACCCGGCTATACCACATGTCGTTTCTAAAGTTACCTATCTCTTACGGCCTTTAAAATAAAGAACAAGTTTCTTTGTACATCTAAGTGCATCGAAAAAAGTTGGCAGGTGCGTATAGCAAAAGCTGAGTATACGTAAATTTGTATATCAAATATTCGCAATACGTGAACTGTTATAGTATTTTATGAATGTAAGTGAAAGTAAAATTATGCAACTTTCTACAGATGGGTAATATTTCTTTTTTATTTAATAGAGATTTGACAGGTACTAATTCATTCGGTTGAAATATATGCTCTAATAATAGAACTTCATATTAATTCAAGGTTTTATTGGAGTATCGAACAGAGGTGGTGATAATTATAGATTTAACCAAGACCGGTTACGTAATATTATTATATATATTATTATTATTCCTAAAATAGATGAATGTTACGAAATGAAAGAATTCTATATTGCAATAAAAATATATTACAATGCAGTTTACGAATTAAAATAACTACGGTTTTTCGTTCGGCTATATTTTGATACGTAAATTAATCATTTACAAAATCAAAAATATTGTACTCTCTAGATTATAAAGTGCTTTTCAATTTATGGAAGCTCCAATTATAATAGAACTTAGGGCAAATTTAAATTATTATTTATCAAACGAAAATGAGATAGGATAATTGATACTTATAAGTGTCTATAATGCAATAATATTATTTTATTATTTTTATTTTCTAACTTCTAACCATACACAATACTCATTACCAATACTATACTTGTGAATCTCTGTAGTTGTAAACACAATTTACGACCATAATTATATTTATTAAAAGCACATATACACTTCAGACACAAGATATCCCTTATTCTTCATAAAATCCAAGGCATTACACAATCCGCGTACCTTTTCAGGTGAGTTCTCACAGCGGGTATAGGAGAAACTGTTTCAGGATAACACAGCCGGCACCGGTCACTGCTGCAGTTCACGAAATCACTGATAATGGGGCACAGTCTGGACTTATCGAGTCACTTTCGTTTTCACAGACGCGTGTGTCGTATACGGGACACAGAGCGCACGATCTCGTGCGCAGAGTATAGCAGATATCGAGCCCACTGGTCGCGCCCGCCGACGACGCCGCCGTTATATATGCGTGAAAGTTCCGCGCGCACATCACTACCAGCCTCTATCCAGGATCATGTTCTTGGAGTATTGTTTTGAAATCCTGCGGTGACGATGACGACATTGACATCATCGCTAACCATGTGGGTGCTCAATGCGGACGAATCTATTCCTTAAATGTTATGTCCGCGTATTGCACGCAGGTTTATAACTTTCTTATTTTTATGATTCAATTCACGAGATATTTCATTTTGGCAATGATTATCTAAAATATTATGGATCTATTTATTATATTTTATACAAGTGTATATTTGAAGAAACTAAAATTAACAAATTAACGATAATGAAACGACTAGAGACTACAGCATGGGATTTTTCAAGATACCCTATATTAAGGTTTCTTAAGGGTCGGCAACGCACATGTGACACCCCTGGTGTTTCAGGCGTCCATAGGCTACGGTAACCGTTTACCATCAGATGGGTCGTATGCTTGTTTGCCACCTACGTGGTATAAAAAAAAGACATAAATAAGTATTGCGTTCAGGCTATAATTTTATTAATAATTTAAATGTTAATTACTTATTTAAATTAAAAGGAAACATTACTAACTTACCCCAAAGTATATATTTTTAAGAATTCTTTAGACTACACGTTACCCATATCACAGATAACATAATATTATATACCCACATATAGTAACATATATACCTAAACAAAATTTCATTGTAATATTCTAAGAATTACCCTAAAGAACGAAAATACAATATTGCTGTTTAAGCAAGTATAAAATTTAGGATGTAGGTAAATTAAATTGACATAGCTAATGGGCAGAAGGAAGGTAGAACTTCAAATTCTACTATATTACGTGATTTCAATTTTTATCCTTAATTCAATCTTATTGTAGTAGTTAAATCTAAAGATTTCATTAGATAGATTAGAAATATATCTGTGTAATAAATATACGCATATTCAGATATATATTCGTTTGTAAGGATGTATGTATTAAATATGTAATATAGCATGAGCATGAAGGTACCTATTTACTGAAGGCGCCACCCCTGCATTTTCTACGTATCTAAAGTCCTGCATCTTCTCCATTTTCTACAGCTCTGAACAAACAAGCTACATAGCTTTGAAGAATTTAATTTTATTATTTGTAATTTTTTATTACAAATTACTGAACGTTTTGATACCGCAATAAACATTCTATAATTTCAATTAAATGCAATTATTATCGTTATATGAGTTTGTCATTGCAAATCATATAAATATACTAGTTACATCCGATATTCTTACAAATTACTTCATTCCGGATTTTGCCTCGTAAGATACGCTTAGGTAATATTGATCTGTGACTAATTTATGCTGAGGGGTACAGAAAAGGATATAAAGATACAAAATACAGTTATGAATAAATAATTGATTGCTCATACTTGGTTTGCCTGATTTGTCAATTTCTTATACATATTTTTCTTGGGGAAAGTTGTATAGTTTCAGGAATAAATAGTAAATGAGTAACTACTAGTCCTACGGTAAGTAGAGCTTATGCATGGATACTAAACAACTAATATAAATACTTAGATTTTTTTGTAAATACATATATAAAATACATATAAAACATCCAGACCGATACAAACAATTATACTCATGAATACACATATTTGCTCCGTGGGACGAATCGAACCCGCGACCATCAGAAGTAAAGCCTGTGATAAAACCGCTAAACCACAGAGACCGTTAATGGTAAAGAATGGATGGCATCTTCGATTCTCGGGTTCTTAAACCTTTTCTGTAAACAAAAACTTATTGCATACTCCAACTATTAATCAATAACCTGGTCGAAGACAGTCTATAGTTTCCACATTCCTTATATACAGTACATGCAAACAATACTAACTAGAAAGTTCAATTCAAATGATACAGGAATAATTTAAATATAATTTTAACGCAAAGTTTGATGTTATTTATTTATATTATTATTTTATCGGGTGTATGCATTACAAGAAAAAAGGGAGTATTTTTGGCTAACAAATTTTATGTCTTGAAATGGATAAAAGCACCAACCGTAAAATTTCAATCTCAATTCAACAGAAAGCGAGGAAAACTTAAAGTGTAAGAAAGAATTATGTTCTTTATAATAATAGAAATGAGCGGATCGGAAGAGATCATTCAAAAGATTTAATCCGAATGCAAAATCATCATAGAAATTTGAATAATTTCGTAAGAAAAGTGAAATGCCTATGTCATCGTGTTCGTTATAGTTGTAAGTATTTATAATATATTATATTGTCATTCTTATAAAAGATTAATAAGCTTTGATTTGATGGTCAGTTCGGCCATACGAATGTTTGCATGTCAATGTGCCCATTGTTAGTAGATATAAATACTTACAAACTATCTAACATGCTTTTTGTTACTAGGTACCTATATGTATACTTTCAATATGTAAAATAACGCTCATAGAGCTCTATTTTGAATTACTCTTTTTAAAAATCTGAAACGGGGATCGCTAAAAGTAGTGTTGGTAATAGTTTCCATGTTCGTTTCTCATCATTCTCTTGGCTATTTGCCTACTTGGAGTCAACTCTTCTGATAGTTACTTTTACGCCATTATTGGCGATTTTGAGTCACCTCAGGTGATAAATCCATCGTCAGAAGATGGTTTGAGACCAGGTGTCGGTGGATGACATCTGTGCATATGAACAGTTATTTCTTAATTAGTTCTATATCATAATTAGCTAACATAAAAATACCATTAGATAGTTTGGACAGAAAGTACCTTGCCGGACCCAAAATTAGAATTAGTTTTAGCAATGTCATCAAACATTTGTTTTTTTATATTCTTGATGATCATTGGATGATTACTCAATTGAAATAAACTCAAACGTCGACCTTGTCGGCGCTTAAGTTAGGTAGCAGGAATTTCAAAGTGAGAAAAGAGTGAAATCGAATTAATTGTCCATTGTTTTAGTAAAGTGCACGAATTTAGTAAGTACACTTTCTGATCTCGAACATGTGTATTATGCACCCAATGAGTTGCCCCTATGAGAAGATTACATTTAATGTGCGAATGTTACTAACGTAAGTTTTAGTATTGTTCTCACAGACTATTTGTTGTCCAGAAAATTATGTTTTATATAGGAATATTACATATACTATATACCAATATTAAAGTACCTACTTTAAAACTTTTGGAGATTGAAAAACTCGTATATTTTATATATGCTATACTCATATAATTTTATCTTTGCATTTATTTAGGTTTATTTTTATTACCATTATAGGTTTACCCTACCTGCATTGTCTTCTTTCCTTAAATTTGGAAGGAACTTAAGCTACAAATATAAAAATTTTATAATCGATTGTCAAGAATGTTCTCACAAAAATAGAATGAAAGTATTAATTATGTATTGAATTATTTTTGAAAATTTGCGATTATTTCAAATATAACTTTAATGCATTAATATATATAATTTTTAACCAACATACAGTTAGACTTAATTTTGTATTTAGGAGTTGCCTACTGCATTAGTCAGAATGTTATAATAGTATGTACACGCAGTGCAAAGTAAAAAATAACTAACGGACTACTGTAACAACTAGTAGATTTGCCTGAATAAGCACAACATACCTACCAGTCTGCTTTGCATAACAAAGTGTGCCACAACTTTCTTATAAACGGAACAGACATAATTCGGCTTCTATTAGTCATTGTTGTACACTATCTGTTCCGATTTACATAAGAGGCTTACTAGGTATTATCATTATTCTTGCAGATATGTCAATAGAGTTTTGAAATTATGCAAAATTTCATATGAAAGTTACATTTTGTCCTCATTTCATTCAGGTGCTAAGTAGTTATCGAAAAATACATTAAGAGGGGAATGTGGTTCAGTTTTATACTCAAAATTCATATATTTTTTATACTATTCCTAGTAAGATAAACAAGCTGAACATAACAGTACACATTAAAGTCCTCGGTGGTTTAGTAAACCGCCGTACCTACGATGGTCGTGAGGTCGATTTCTCGGACGCTACAATAATATATATTCGTGACTATGATTGTTGGTATTGTTTACATTGCATATTATGTGTATATTTTCAAGAAAATGTTCTATGCATTTCTATCAGTCATAAGCTTTGCTTAGCTTGGGACTAGACTAGATGGCGCTGTGTAAATTATCTAAAGTTAAGATACGGTCGAATCTGGTGAAGCCCTACAATGGTTATATAAATGCAACTGCTTTCTAATATTGCTCATGCCTATTTTTGCCATGCCTCTAGTTAAATTTTGCGAATCTTATTATACAATTTTTTAGTAAAGTTTCATATCACCAGAAAAATTCTTCACCAAACGCTAGTTCAGCCCACATGAATACTATTATAATTATCCTATGTATAATTTTAGTAATATTTTTTCTCTTTCTGTTCATCATATTTCATTCGTATCCCTACAGTAGTTTTTTCGTTAAAATATAACAATCATCCAACCATTCAACCTTACTAACTTTCATATTTAATAGATGTACCGATCAAAGTCATATTTCAAGTTCATATCCACATTGTTGTAACATAATTGCCTATGTTGCTCCAACCGACTCCTCAATTTTGAGTTTGAAATTACACCATTGACCCTTACCTAAAATCATTATGTTGTGTAATACGTATATACGTCAAAGCAGCCATTAGATTGCACCGGGCGGCTCCGATGATTCAATGCGTCGCGTCGCCGAAGCGGACTTAAGCGGAATGAGGGCGGATCTTGGTTATTTCATAACACCAGGTACACAAAACTCAGCTTCAGTGGCACAGGAGGAAAGTAAAAGCCTTAACCTGACGTAATTGGATTCCAAAAGATACGTCATACATGTGTATAAATATTGTTTGTTTGTATGTGTATAGTTCTTGTAAAAGTTATTAATAGAAGGATACATATGACTTATAAAATAAATGGGTACAATGGCGGAGATATCCC